CAAGTGTCCTAAATTGCAAAAAACCTTTGTAAGTAGTTTTTTTTTGACCTTATATTTAAAAAAAAACTTTTTTAATAATAAGGGACATTTGAATTATGTCCTCGTCTTTAATTTAGGGACTTATCTTTACCTTTATATAATTAGATAATTGAATGCCCTAGATAGTTAAATATTATTTAAGATATAATATAGGTTTTAAATTTATTTTTCTATATTTTTGAATAGTGCTAAAGAGTTTAGATAGAAGAGTTGCATTTGATAAATCTAATATTTAATTTTTTTTGACAAAGAAAGATATATATTATATTATAGATTTATAAATCTTGTACTGCAATTTTAAAAATATAAATAAAAATAAAATGTGAGAACTATTTATTTCTTCAAAAAAAATAATAAAATAAAATATATTAAACAAGATTTTGTTAGTTGAAAAAAAAAATAAATTGTTTTAATAAATAAAGTTATTAAATAATAACTAATAAAATTATATATTTTTTTAAATTTATTTATTTATATATTTTATAAATTAATTATTAATTTTTAAAATTTTTTAAAAGTTTATTTTTTGTTAAAAATAAATATACTAATAATTAATTGATATACTTATTTTAAAATTTTATAAAAACAATAATTGCATTTGAAAATAAATTAAAAATAAATTTTTATTATTAAATAAAATTTTATTATAAAAAATTTTAGTTATGGAAATTAAATATATATATATATATTATAAAATAGTTATTAAATTGAAAGCTAAAATAAGAATCCAAAGACTGTTGTAACAAACTGTATTTACAAGATTTTTTTGAAAAAAATTAAAATAAAAAGATTAATGCAACTTTTTTCAAAAAAAGTATATTATTAAAGAAATATATGAATTTTATTACTGATAATATAATAGCTTTTAAAAACATATGTTTTTGAATTGGAAAACAAATTATCAAAAAGTTTTTTTATTGATATTATAAATTGTTTATAATTATTTTAATAATACTGTATTTTTTAAAAAACCCATTTAAAATATTAACATTAACACCATACATATGGGTAATTATTTTCAAAGGCGAACCGGAAATTTTCTGGCGTGATCCTAAAATTTATATTATATATGTATTGTTTAAAAGTTGGGTCCAAAAAAATCATATCTAGCATTTTTGTCGCCTTCAAAAATAATTACCCATATACAGTATATAAGTATTAATTTTATGTATTTGATTATATTTTAAAACATATAATATATTGTATATATATATTATTTAAAAAATGTTTTCTGTAAACAGTTTTTTAAGTTATAATTTAAGTTATAATTTTTATACAAAGCTATTTTTTTTTAGTTTTAATACAAAAATTTCTAAATCTTAATTTCAATGACTAAAATGTCAATGAATATCATATTTTCAAAAATATTATACAGCAATCTTACGCATTTCGCACTAGTAAACATTGGTATCAAGGTCAAAATTTTCGAACTTTATTTTTTTGTATGTAATTTATGTTATCGGAATTATTTGAATATCAACTTTTAATAATTTTATCTGATTTAGGATATACATTATAAATGTTAAGAGATCAATAAGGATACATGTATGATCTTATTTATTACATAAATACAGTTTTTTTTGTTATTATTGGCCGAAACATCCTCGAGAATGTTAACATCTAATATTATGCTATCATTATACTATTATATATCAAAGTGCGAAATGAAATCCAGGCATATGATTTACATATGTTTATAGATATAAGATTATTTCGTATTATGACAACTCTATCAAATGAATGCGTCTTATAACCGGGGACGAGCAGAATCTCAATTAATATCCGATCGAACCGAACCAATCCTTGTATGCAGTCAGCTCTCGAAGAAAACAATATAAATTCTCTTCCACAATGGGATCATCATTAACAAAATTGTGTCACTGGTATTTGTGCAGTGAACCAATCAAGGAATTTTGCTCCTACGGACGTACACACAAAAAAAAAATTTTTTTTCTTTCATAGTATTCATAATGTGAGTGATAAGATATATAATATATACATAATATAGATGTATATATTGACGGCTATATCCGCTTACGTACTTACCCAGACTACACCATTCAATAAATGAGTCAGTGGCTAGTTTTTTTTTTTTTCATCTGGACTTATCTCCATAAAAGCTACTTCCTGGAATTTTAAAGACGACGTATTATATGCAACCAGCATCATCTGATATTCCGATTTCCGGAGTAGACAAAAAAAACCAAAGACAAAGAGGAAATGATTGTCTGACCAACAACGTTTTTTCGATTTCTATATAATTAAAATTAAGTGTGTATTACGTTACGTGTTGCAAATATTAATCATGACGCACAAACTAGTAGCACAAATTTCGTAATGTTGGCATGACTTGTTTGTTACACAAATTACAGATAGTCACGTGATAAATCTTTGATAACATGTAATTTCATCACACTTTATATAAACAAATCATTGCCTTTATATAACAGCCATTACGTAGTTTTTTTTCTTCTGAAACAGAGACCGTTTGGGAAAGAAGATAAAAATTTAAATGTTTATTTATACATATTGTTTATTGATAGAGTCTTAGTGGTATTTTTAGGCTACTTTGCAGGTATTAGTAATAGGTATTTGGTTATTAATCTGGAAGATTGAAATCCTAACTTTTAGAACGAAAAAACTTTTTTAACTTCTCAGAGAAAAAGATAACATAACGAAACGAGACGGCGAGAAGGAGACGTTCAGAATTTAAACATTTTCCGCCGGCTTACATGCAACTGATTCGGGGGACATCACTATTAAAGGTTTCTTGATTATCTAATTAACAGTGAATGGTTAATACTCTTTATCTCTCGATGAATACCAATAATTTTTTTATCTTCTTATTCACGTAGTTTTCAGTCTTTTTCGGTAATAATTCTTGCATTATAGATAATATTCGACCAATGTAAATATTTGGTAGGTTCAACCTTAGATTTTATTTTTGCAATTTATTATTATTATCATTCATTTTTATTATTTCTAACACGTGTCAATTCTCCTTGCAAACGTAAAGTATCTTATAACATCAAAGGAATCATTAAGAATACGAGGGGATCGGTATGAAATCAAAGAATCTTGATCTCCAGGTGCCTTTAAATACGCCTCCCGTACAACATCACTATTCAGTTCCAATGGTCTCTCAAAAAAATAATTCTACTCACCATTCAATTAACAACAACAATAATAATAATAATAGTAGTAGTGGTAACATTAGTACTAATAGTAATAGTAATTTTATTCCGGAAAAACCTATTAATCATTGTGAACATTTATACCAGAAAAAAATATCTCGAGATCACCCAAAAGAAATTTCAATACCGATTTTCGAGGATAACCCTCACCTTTCATTATATCCAACACCGCCTCAACCGTATAATTCATTTTCGGAAAATGTATTAATACAAAATCAACGAAAATCACAGTCTTACCCATCGCCAAATTTATACAAGTTGTCCTTACTTTTAACAACAGAACTGGACATTCGGAAGTGGTGGGACAACGTGATTGAGATATTGACTTCTTCATACTGCGCAACTCGTATCTTGCTTTCGGTGCCACATGATCTAACCGACACAATAAATACATCCTGGGGTGTCAAAGCGACTTACCATAAGGATTATTGTTGTCCCGGAAACTCTTGTTATCCAGATAGTATTGACAGTTGTTCAACATCTTCAAGTGATTCCGGACATCCTGTATACGAAAGCTTGAAGGATTTTGATAGAGAGGTTGATCCGCTGGTGAACAACGAAGGAATCCTAAGGATATTACAGACAGGAAATATTACGGTATTGACGAGGGAGTACAAATTACAAAATGAAGAATCTAATATGAACTCCTTGAACAATGGATCTCATCAAAAAAAATTATTGGACACAAAAGATGAAAGTCTGGTTGGTTCGTTTGAAAATGGAATTTATCAAAATGAAGTCTCGGATTCTCACGATCCTAATGATCAGTGGTCGCGGGTGTTGGATACTCCTTGCCTGAATGATTTGGAGGAAGGTCAAAACAGCTATTTTCAAATCAATCGGAAAAGTTTGTTTAATATTCACTATCATCATCGATCAACTTCCGAGTTTCAGGAAAAGGAACAACATCAACTTTCGCCTTGGGCTCAACCGATTTCTGCCACCGATAAAACAGAAAATCCTTACTTTCAAACGTTACCGAAGATTGACGATGAATCCTTTAATCCTTCAAACGTCACATTTTCACAATCACCTGCCAATAATAACTCCCACTCAGCAGTCACTGAGCACATTTATTCAATTGTACATATCCCTCTCATACATCCAACCACTGTAAAAAATGTTGCGCCGACAAATGCAAATCATACACCTGTACCAATAGCTATTCTTTCATTTCTTTCATGCATTGCACCATACCCAGAAGAGTTGTTGAAGTCTTTGAAGGTATTGGCTCCCTTCATGGCTACGACATTGTCAGTTTCAATGATACATCAACAAATATCATCTTATGCGAATTCAATTAGAGAGAGGCGCCGACGTAGTAGTCAGAAATCAAATGCGACAGTGAATCCTTTGTCAGTTGGTCTCGCGGATGAAGACGATAACGATAGTATGTCATCGGGATATTCTACATCATCAACAAGTTCTTCAAAATGGGAGTATGCCACCGTCTTCTCGACCACTTATGGTCACAGTCCACACGCGGATTCAAGCGGTGACGATCCTTTCAACGACAGTGATAATTTGTTCTCGAGATTAAATGACGATGAATTTACCCCAGAATCCGAGGGTTTAACATGCGATGATTCTTCGCCTACTCCTTCAACACCGCAGGGACCGGTTAAGAGTCGTAGGGTCTCGTTACCAACGGACCGTAAAAGGCGTCAATCGAGAAATTCCATCAAAGCATCGAATGTACCTGGTAATTTGCACCGCCGTCATAATTCGAGCGCGCAACCTGCCTTAATGGAAAAGCCACGTTTAATAATACCTAATACAAAAATGCTGCGACTTTTGATGGATCTGATGCCTAATGTTGTATAGTAAGTGTTATACGCACAGAAATTTTATTTCACAAACATCTAATAACCTGTTTGTTTAGCACGTGTACCCCTGGACTCGGAGATTGCACTTGGGTAAACATGCGTTTGCTTAAATATACTGGTCGTAGTATCGACGACTTATTGGGTCATGGTTGGATGGAAGTTGTGCATCCCGAGGATAGACCACGTGTTTTGGAAATGTGGAATAACACATTTTCACGCGGTGAGGGATCAAGTGCAGAGTATCGCATGCGTAGATTTGATGGTCAATATCGTTGGTTCCTGGGTCGAGCTGGTCCTTTGCGTGACGCGAGGGGTGTTAACATCCGATGGTTTGGAACTTGCACTGATGTTCATGATCAGAAATTAGCGGAGCAGGTTCAGAGCAGACAAGTTCATATTGAAGCCAACGAAAAAAAGTATCGACTTCTTGCCGAAGCTATACCTCAAATAGTGTTTACTGCAACACCTAAAGACGGTATAACATATGTCAACAAAAAATGGTTAGATTATTCTAGTCAGACTGAAGATGAGGCAAAGAATCTGGGATTTCTATTTCATGTTCATCCTGATGATCGAATTCGCTGTCGTTTACCGGAAGAAAAAGGTTCGGACGAAATGACCTACTCAACGGAGGTACGCTTAATGCGAAGTGACGGGGAGCATAGGTGGTTTTTGGTAAAGTGTATTAGTGTCGAAGTTTCGGATCAAGGTCGTAAGTGGTTTGGTACTTGGTGGGTGCACATTTGGTTTCTTATTGACTTTTAAATGTTATTTTATTCATTATTTTGTGATTTAATAAAATTCCTTATTTCAGCACGGACATTAATGATCATAAGATGGTGGAACAGAAATTGAAGGAAGCACATGATGCAGCAAAAAGATCAACAGAGAGCAAGACGAGGTTTTTGTCTAACATGTCTCACGGTACCTTTTAGAATTTATTGTTGGAAATTTTTTCTATTCCGATTCCACAATCATAACTTCAAATCGTTTTTTCTTTCGCGATTATCAATCAGAGATTCGCACACCGCTGATTGGTATCACCGGTATGATAAATTTCATGTTGGCAACTACACTTACGGTAGAACAGCTTGACTATGCGCATACCATTCAACAGTCGGCGGATGCTTTGCTCTTGGTTATCAATGATATTCTGGATTTGAGCAAGGTCGAAGCCGGAATGATGAAACTGGAGAAGGAACCATTTTCAGTTCATAACATGATAGAGGATGCTAATGAATTGCTCTCAACCTTGGCCATACAAAAGGGTCTCGAATTGAGCTTCATTGTGGATGACAACGTCCCAGATGTAATATGCGGAGATAGAATCAGATTACGTCAAGTGCTGCTGAATGTTATAGGAGTAAGTGATTACAATGATAGCCTCCAGAGTACTCTTTTTTGATAATAACATATCTCTGCTCACTTCCCATGACAATAGAATGCGATTAAGTTCACGTCAAAAGGCGAAGTGTTTTCTCGTTGCTCGTTATCCGTGACGTATGAGGATGAACTTAATGAAAACGAGATGATGTTGATGTTCGAGGTGGTCGACACCGGTGATGGTTTCGATACGGAAGAAGAGGCCGTGATGTTTAAGCCATTTTCACAGGTGGATACTTCTGTGAGTGTTGCGAAAACAACCCTCTACTTTGCACTTCTTGACTTTGCATATCACTGATCTTTTGCTTTAACTCAATCATTTAGTCGACAAGAAAACATGGTGGCAGTGGACTTGGATTAGTCATATCCAGACAACTGATAGAGCTCCATGGAGGAAAAATGTCGTGTAAAAGTAAAAAGGGTGTCGGATCTACGTTCTACTTTTCTGCCAAATTTGTAATACCCGCCGATTCCACAGCTCCCCGTCCACCCACCCCAACTTCCGAAGTTTCGAATTCTCCATTCTTCCGACATAGTAAAGTTTCTGTTCAATCGAAAACAATGGCAATTAATGAGAGCATTGCGCCGCCTTCATCATCATCATCATCATCATCATCATCAGCAAATTCTTCACTTTCACATAATGGATATCATGAAAATTTGGTATCTCCGAATCCTTCTAATCTCAATATACATACGGAATTTAACAATGACAATCTACAACCCACTGGATCGTTAACGCCACCTGTATCCTCGAGACCTCACACACCGAATAGCGCATCTAGACCTGTCACACCATCATTCAATTCACGTAAACCATTGCAAATGGATTTGCCCCGTCCCGCGTGCGTCCTCATAGTCGCTGATTTGCCATATGCACGTGAAACCCTTACACATTATGTCCGTTCCATCCTCCCCAAGTGTCCTGCACCAGAAATCGAAGTTTCTTGTAGCTACAACGAAGCTCGAGACCGATTATCTTCCGAAGAACTTAAATCTTACACTCACATATTAATAAATTTGGCTTCTCAACCTCAGGTTATTTCCTTAGCCTCAATAATAAAACATGCGATGCACCTTTCTCTAACTGTTACTGTGATATTAACGACACCTATTCAACGAGCGGGAATTGTGGAAGGTACACAGAATGATTTGCCTGAACGCGTTGAATTCATCTTCAAGCCTCTTAACAGAAGTAAGATGGAGGGCTTATTCGATGTTACCACGACGGTTAGGGAGAATTTTTTGAAGAGACGAAATACGCATAAAATTGTTGCAAGTCAAAAAGAAGTGTTTAAACGTATGGCTGACGATGTGGGTGACAAAGGATTTAGAGTATTATTGGTTGAAGATAATGAGGTTAATCAAAAAGGTAAAAAGATTGGTTCTGATACTTTATGTGAGGTGTTTAGTCTGAATTAACAATTTTATGTCAAAACTCGTTCTAGTAATGACAAAATATCTCACCAAAGTTGGATTGGGCGTAGAAATTGCTAATAACGGGGAAGAATGCTTAAAAAAGTTTTATTCACATCCGCACAGCTATTATTCACTGATATTGGTAAGCAACACTTGTTGACCTGCACATCGTGATTATTTAAAAATTGTTGACTTTGATTTCTTTTTGTAGTGTGACCTCTTCATGCCAGTAAAAGGTAATTAATTATGCTTCGCTTGTTGTCAATAGGTAAACCTGAATTAATCTCTTTCTTTCCTAATGAAATTGCAGACGGATATGAAACCGCGGCTGAAATCCGAGCATGGGAAGCCCGAAATTTAAAATTTGAATCTCAATTACCAATAATAGCTCTTTCAGCGAATGTAATGTCTGACGTGGCGAATAAATGCCGCGAAGTTGGGTTTACTAGTTACATTAGCAAACCTGTGAACTTTGCCACATTAAGTGACGTTATAAGAGATTTGTTGATTGGTAAAGCAAGTGAGAATGACAATGACCATGAAGGATGTGATAAAAGTAGTGTTGAAAATAACGCATCATGAAAATGACTGTAGATTGGCGCAGTTACTGTTCGATCATTAAAAAAAAAATTAAAGAAATCATGGAAGATCGATGTCAAAGAAAATAATTGAATTATTGAATTGCCATTCAAAGGAGTAAAAATCGGAACCCATCATTATGTTTAGGGGTATTTATTTATTAAAAAGAAAGGACTTATTTATTTATATTTGTATTTTTACCGAAAAATATTGACTTATCACACACACCTTCGTCTGTTGTCAATTATTATTTTAATTCTAACCATTATTCCGTCCGTCGTATAATATTATATTTATTTATTAGAAGATTTTTTGAACGAAAAAGGTGTCGATTTTGGCCATGAGATCTTAAGAATATGGGTGGTGCATATGAATTTACTGGTAGGATGATCCTCCATCTGTCCGAAATTACATAATCTCATGTCTGCGGGCAAGGGCCATCAATGTAGTCGAGAACAAAAATATTTTTATTAAGTCTTTGATTTTAAGCAATCATAATATAACAAACAATAATTTAGATTATTCCATCCTGTAAAGCACATTAAATATTTATACATTCAATAGTTTTGTATTTAATAAACAAAATCTTATAACATAAATAGACATAACACATGAAGAACGTATCAATCTTTATGCTTATTAAAATAAATAATTTTTTAAACAGTTTAAGAACTTTTTATAACTTTAATATTTTTTCATTTTCATACTTTATCAAAAAATCAGATCTTTTCAATTATCTGTAAATCTCATTGTCCAAAATAATATTGCCTCTATTATGTAAAAACTTTTTTTTTCAACTTGCAATATATTTTTCAGTAGACAATAATATTAAAAACTTTAAAAGAAATATTAACTTACTAAGATATAACAACTATACAATAAAGTGCTTTTTACTTTCTTATTAATATAGTGAAAATAATGTTATTTTATTTTTCAAATAGCTTTAATTAAAACAATAGAAAAATAATTAGATATTATAAAAGAATAACTAAATAGAAAATCTTTTATCTTTAGAAAAGCTTTGGCCAAAATTAAAAACAAATATATAGGGTGATTCATAATTTTTGAAATTGGTTTTTTAATATAACTCTATTAATAATTATTTAAATATTATAAAAATATTTATAAAAATATTTTTAAAAACCTATAGTTTAAGATTATTTAAGAACATTTTTAAAACTTTTTATTGTTTTTATATCTAAAATTTATATTTAATGTAAGTTAACAAATATTGATAAGACAAATTTGTCAAAGTTTTATATATGAGTTATTATAAAAACATAGTATAATTTTTTAAATTTTTATAAAAAAATATAATATTTTAAAAACTGTTTTAATTTATTATACAATAAAAATTTATTTGATTTAGATAAAATTTTATGAATTACTTGTTTATAATCTAAAAAACAAGTTAGTTTAAGCTTATTTTATAAAATTTTTTAATAAAATTTTTTCAAAATATTTTTTGAATATAAAATTTATTGATTTTTTAATATAAAAATTTAATATAAAAAATATTTTTAAAATATAAAAAAATACATATTTTTTTTTATTACGTATATTATGAAAACTTATTTGTTTTATACAAAATTTAAAATTTATTTTTTTTAGATCTTTTAAAAACTGTTTGTTTAAGCTTTTCTTATAAAGTATCTTAATAAAATTTTTTAAAAATATAATTGTTTATAACAGTCCAAAAAAACTTTTTTTAAATTTTTATGTATCATCTAAAATCTTAAAAAATAAATATTTTTTAATAAAACTTATACTATTTTATTTCTAGGTTTTAAAATTTATTTAAATAAAATTTTATTTAATTTAAATACTTTTTTTATTTAATTATAAAATAAAATATAAAATCAAAAAATTATAAAAAATTATAAATTATACTGTATAAAAAAATATTAAAAGAATAAATTACTCTTTTTTTTACTTGATCTTTCATATTTATAAACAATAATAAAACTCTTTTTTAACTTTATCACTATTTCAAAGTTATCAAATCACAAGTTGATTTTTTTTTCAATATTTTAAATATTAACTAGTTAATTTAACTTTATTTAATTATTAAATTTCAAAATTAATTTTTTGACTTTTTAAAAACAAATATAATAATTTTTTTAACTTATTTTTTTTTTCTAATCATATTCATTTTGTTATTAAGCAAGAAAAAATATTTTACACTCTTTATCACAAGTGAGTTCCAACTTAAAAGAACAAGAACCTTCAATACAACTGATACAGTAATATAAAATCCCCGATTAATGTCTATTTAAGTTTGGAAGTCTTGTTTATTCTTCAATTATATAAAAAAAGATTTGTAACAGTTCTCTTTTCTTTTCTTGCATCCCTTCTTACTCTTATTCTATCATAAAAACTATTCATATTATTATTATTATACTCATTAAATCAAATACTTTTCAAAGACATATTTAAACAAAGTTAATGGATCTATTGTTTGTTTCAAGTCAACTTTTAAATTCAACTATATTATGGCAACACTTGTTATGTTATCTCAAATTTTTTAATATTTTTATCTGGCCAAAAAACCAAAATCAATTTACCCCTTTAAATAATTAGTACCCTTCAATTATTCAATCAGATTTCATTTAAAAATCAAACCAAAAACCAAACCTGTTTAAATCAATTTTATATTACAATAATAACAATCACAACAACAATATCAATTACATTATTACTAATAACTATAACAACAAATAATATTATATATACTTTATTATCTATAGTAACCAAAGAGCTGGAAAGATAGAACAAAGAGTCTGTTTGAAGATTTTTTGGAGGAATAATTAATTTTATATTTATAGATTTTATAGTTTACTTTATTTAGTTTTAGTTTTAGTTACATTTACTTTTTTCTTTTTTTCAATTACTTTACTTACAAATTTACAAAAGAATTTCATAAAATTTTCTAAATAAGTGGGTATAGTTGCTATTCAGATACAGCTAGTATATAGTATTGGTTTGAATTTCTTTTTTAATATTGGTTAGATATGTACAGTATATATAGGCAAGTTAGTATTTAAATTGTTGCTTTATATATGTAAGAAATATTGTTTCTTTTACAAATGTATATTTTGTTATATACAATATAAAATAAAGAAATAATATTTATCTACTAGGAAAATCCCCCAAAAAATAAATAAAAACAAATAAAATTTATATTAGTTTCAAGTTTTTTATTATTTTTATAAAATTTTTTATCTGTTTTTAAAATTTATTTATTATTTTTTTTTAGTCACTAGCTGGATCTTGCTTAATATACTTCATTAATAATTATTGTTTATATAATTACAAATATATATATATTATAACTATATATTTATATTATATATTAAAGTTATATTAAAACAATTTAATTAAACTTTTTTTACTAATCCTTTTGCCAATCCAAAAAAAGATATCCCAAAGTATTTTATATTTCTTTATAATAAAGTTTATATACTTTCTTTAATAATATTACTATTTAAAAACTCTAGTTACTTTCTACTTGTTTTTTTTTTCTTTGAAATAAACTTCTAGTATTTCTATAAGTAAATACAAGAAAAATTTATCTACAAAGTCAAAGGCAAAAACATTTTGCTAGAAAAAAGAACTTGTAAAAACAATATTCTTCTTCTTTTTTTCAGAAATTCAAAACTTTAAAAAAGATAATAATAGATTTTTGGAACTCTCTTTTATCTTTCTTAAATTTTTTATATATCTTTTTAAATATATAAACTTTTTCTAAAAAATTTTGTCTACCTCAATTTAATTTTGAATTTTTGGTTATACTGGAATCTTTGAGTAATAATTAATTTGAAATTAGAATTAGTGATCTAATACATAACAAAAAATATAAACAAGATACAATGTGCAAAAAATTTTAGAATTATTTATTTATTCATTACTTAAAAACTACTGTATAGAAATTAATAAAAAACATATCAAAATAAAGCTAAAAATCTAGAGATTTTATTAATATATAATTAATAATCAATTCTTGTCTCATTATTTTCAATTATTAATTCACATATCTCTTTTATTGAATCTATAAAATTATTTAAAACCTTATTTGGAATTTTATTTCATTCTTTTATCATAAATTGTTCTAATTCTAAAATATTTTTTAGTAATCTTATTTCTATATTTCTTTTAGAAATATCCCAGTGGTTTTTAATAGGATTTAAATCTGAACTATTAGAAGGCCAATTAATAATTTTAAAAAAATTTTATTTAAAAATACTTTAGCAATTTTACTTGTAAGCTTGGAATCATTATCTTATTGAAAGTGTCAATTGTTTCCAAGTAGTCTATTAATTTCTTGTTTATG